CAGAACAGTAAATAAAGAAGTAAAGCAAACAATTATCTCTTCTTGTTATGACCGTACTCGGTTGCTGCTTCTCATAGTTTGCTAAACCTTGAGAAATTTTACATGTGGAGGATGTGAAACAAAATAATTTTTTATATGTATTATATCTATATATATATATATACATTTGAATAACCAAAAAATCATAAATTACTTTATCGATACCATGGAGTTCCATTATAATTTATCAAGTTTAGTAACTAAGCTGTATTTGGGTCTAAAAATATACGAAATTTTGAACAGAGTAAAGACACAACCTACCTCCTTAATCTTGTTCAAAAGAACAAGATGGTGTCCTAACACATGAAAATGGATGAGAAAACCACTAGGGGAACACTGTGAGCTTTCGATTGGTTATTCACATCATAGGGTTAAACAAGCTTAATAAATAGCTCATGACATCTGATATAGAATGGTGCAAACACATTCTTTGTAGCAGGTTTAGTATCTAGTCTGCCTTTTGAAACTTGTTCTAGAACTTTGGAGAGCATTGGGTCAGTTCTAGTTTATTTTTGGACTTGAGCACACTCTACTGGTATTTGTTCCATTTGATTACAGCAAAACACACCGTCTGAGTTAGCAATGTTTTTAGTGTAACATTTAATGGTAATCTTGAAAGTCCATCAGCATCACTAGTATGACAGCCCTTCTTTTCCTCAATGGGGAGACAAAAGTAAGGCCCAACGTTGCAATCTAGCTGCTGCGAGTGACCGGAATTACCTTCTTTTGACCAAAAATGGTCATGAGTGGGCTGTGATCAGTGATTAGAGTAAACTGCTGACCCATAATATTGGTACACCAGTAGATAACAGTAACTAATTAATCTAAACAAACCAAACATGTAACATTTACTAAGATTTTTGATGCAAAAAAGGGGAAAAGGGTGGCTCAGTGGCTTTGCACTTTGGACGCGTAATCGATTGTTTGCAGGTTCAAGGTTGACCCACATCATGCTCTTGTGTCCTTGAGCAAGACACTATACCCCACTTGTTCAAGTCTCCCCAGCTGTATGATGAATACCTAGTTGTTAGCTGTGGGTTAACCTGCAACTGACTGGCATCCTGTCCAAGGGAAGTAATTACCATTTGAACAGGAGTTCAAAAGCACTGGCTTTACATGCCTTATAAAGGCACTGCAAATATTTAACATTTTAACTGCAAGAAAGGGTTAGAGCTCTAGATTTTTAATTCAAATATTCTTAATGTGTTTTCATAAAGTTAGGCATTGGTCAGTGTTTCCTACCATGTATTTTGAAAATGATGGTTATTTTTTCAGGATTATGATCCATTTGCAGAGAGGAGAATTCCTCGGATTGCAGATAGAGAAGATGAATACAGGGCTCAAAGACGTAAAATGATGATATCTCCAGAGAGATTGGATCCTTTTGCAGATGGTAGGATATCATTATTGGCAAATATACAATTAAAGATTATTTTTACTTGTTCACACACTTAAACATATAGGCCACATTTTTTATGATTCAGAGCTAGTAACTGTGTTTAAAAGAAGAAAAATGTTATACAGATTTCAAAACATCAGTAGCTTGTGCCAACTATACTTGCATGAGCCATCAGTAAATAACACAGTTGCTGGCTTATGTGTGTTTGGGAGTGACAAAGCATGAATAGGATGTGTGTCTGACTGTGATTATAGGATATGCAATTTGTGTTGAATGAACTGAAATATTGTTCAAGATAATTATACTTGTGTTACTACAAATTTAAATTTTTTTCAGAATTATTTGTTCACATATTTACTTCTAACCTGAATGATGTGTAAGAAAATAAGCATAAAAACCATCAACATCAATAGCAAATATTGTAGTACTTAGCAATTATATTTCATCTGCCAATAATAATGTGAAAAGTGCAATTTTAGTATTTTCTCTAACCTGCATTTTTCTCTACAAAGTGATTGAAGTAGTATTGAGAAAATTCAATTAGTTTTCTTTATGGACATATGTTGTGCAACATTGAGCTTTTTAGGTGCTTTAAACATGATATAGTTACTAGACTTGTATCCATCATATATAATAAAAGAACTGTAGCTATAGTAACTATTGCTGGATATATAATGTTTTTTTGCTTTTTTTAATTTGATATGATTGAAAAATTTAATGCAATCCTAGGGACAGATGAAATCTCATAGCATTAACATCCGAGTTAAAGGTAAAAAAAAAACATAATTAAATAAAAATAACAAAATGTCAAAAAAAAGATTCATTTATTATGTACATGGATACCTAAAAACATTTTCAAACATTATTGTATCACAATCATATAATTCACATTTTAGAAAATCTCAAAGATGCAGATGGATTAGTTCTAAATGAAATAACCTGAAAAAACAGGTTGACTGACTATAAAACATGTCTGTACAGAAGTATGTATAAGCTGTTACATTGAAAAATTGGTTTTCTAATACTACCTTTAGCTGATTCTACTTTTAAGTTAGTATATTTTCAGCACTAAATTACTGATTTTTTTATGTTGTTACAAAAGCCTCTTTTATTACATCATTTGCTTTTTTAACTGTGTTATTGGGGTACTTGAAAATATACAGATCAATTACATTTCTAATTATTTTGGTAAAAAATCAATTTTATTGAAGTGTAAATGCAATTACTAGAAAGTAACTGATACGTTTTAGTATTATGCACATAAAAATGTTTATTTGTATATACAGTAGCAATTAGAAATAACCTACACTCAATATCAACATTTACTAATTTTGATGATCTATTAATTTGCTATGAAGTTACATTTTGAAACGTGATCACCTCTTGATATTTATTCATACTTTATTTCACACTGAAGTACTCCTATACACGTCCGTCCGTAAGTCTAGCTTCAGTAAATAAGAGACTGTCAAAATGGCATCATTTTTACATTAAACAGGATTACTTAATTATTTAGGTAGAAATGAGATGTTATTTCTCAACAATACTTTGTAGTATCATTAATACTTGTGTAGTTGTGAACTAAACAAAATAGTGAAGCAATGAATGAGGGCATGGTGTGATTGAATTACAAAACTTTTACCAGATTTTATTGTTCTAAGTAATATTTTTTTTAAATGATTTATTAAGCCCTAGCTTTGTTTAAAGGTTTTGATATCAGTAAATTGTTAAGATTTAATTCATTTTGAAAAATGTGCTATGTTTTTAGAGAGAGAAAAAAATTCAAAAAATACCCAAACTTTTGCAAATATATTTTGTTGAAAAGTGCTATGTTTCTGGCTACACAAATTTTTCTTGTAAAGATATTAATTGTCAAACATGTAAAGTTAAAATGTTTTTGTGGAATCTGTCAAATTGTCTAGAGTGATGCCTGCATTTGAAACTTGCCATTACAGGGGGGGAAATATTAAAGATCTCGGTGACACAAATAATTGACTTCACTTTTATATATATAAAAGCTATTTTGCATTACATTAATTCTTATCATAATATATTATCTAAGTTATTATTTCTGTAACACCAATATATATATATATATTGGAACTAATATTTAAAAAGCATGTGAGAGCAAGAATGTTTGAAATATGTTTTTACGATTTTTCAATGTGTTCCATGAATTTAAATAAAAAATATTTATAAAAATTAATATTTTGTCATAGCTAAATATGATTATTTTAAAGTTACACAGCTATTACTTTCATAACAAAAGTATTCAGAGAGCCAGTGTTTATTTTGGTAAAGTAGAGAAGTTGATGGTTTGTTTTTTATATTTATTTGTTTAACATACATTCAACACATGGACGGCAAACAAACAAAAAAAACGACAACCTCCAATACAGATAACATAGTTTGTGTAGATGGCTAGAATGCCATCTACAAAACATAAGTTCTGTAGCTAATGGATTCTCTTATTGACAGAAGTCCTGGTTGGTTAGTTCCTCACTAATGCTTGTCGTTCAATTTCTTTCCTCAAGCTTGGAAGCACCATTTGTAGAGTATCCCACACCAGCGGCAAGTGTCTTTGTCGTCCTGATCCATAAGAGCTGTGTGTAGACTATAGCTAAATGACAGTCTCTTCTTTATCCTCTTGGCCTGTCATTAATGAATAAAGCAAGATATAGATTTGGCTAGGTTTCTTTTGATATAGATAGGCTTATTTTAATAACAAAAATTCATGTTATTTGCAAAAATTATACTGATGTGATTGTTAATATAAAAGTTAAGTTCAGTGTAAAACTATTATGTGATAGAATATTAATTCAAAATTAAATCTTCTATGAAAACTTATTTCAGAATAATAAATATTTATAAGTATGACATGAATAATTTTAAAGGGAAATGATGTAAACCTATACTTAAATTTTGTTTTAACTTAACATACTAATGTTTAAGGTACATTACCAGAAACATTTTGAATGTTCCCTGTATTGAAGTAAAGAAGGAAAATGTGATGTGTAAAGTACATAAATATAAGATACTTTTTTCACCTTTTTTTTTTCTTAATGTTTCCAATTGGCTTAAGTTCCAGCTAAAATAGTTTAATAAAAAAAAGCAGCCAGTAAAGACACTTTGGTGTTATTGGAACTATAGGAAGAAGAAACTGATATGCCAAGGTATAGGAAACAGTATCGATACAACATTAAGATTGTTTCTGGTTTTGCTTTCATTATGAGTGTATGGGTTGTGTGGCTGTGTAGCACTAAGAAACAAACACAAACTACTAATGATAAGAGGCTATTTTTAGGAACAGCAGTGAGACTGAATGCTGATGGGCTGCAGCGGACATCATGAGCTGAAACACGTACGTATTTGTAGTGGATAGATCCCTTGGCAGGGGTTTCTCCAAAACACTACGTCGAGAGTTAATATGGGTTAAAAATCACAAAGGTTTGATTTTCTGTATTAAAATTTAAATGAAGGTTCTGTCAGGTTAGCACCTGTTATTATTTTTATTTGCAAAAAGGGTACATGTAGAGACGATAATACACAAATAATTCATGAATTTGTTTGGACAACATAGTTCTATCACATCAAATCAACATACATTATGTAAACAGTAATAAATCTATCTCATATAAAGTATTTATAAAATGGAGAGGCCCCTCCCACTGGATAACCTGTAAAATACTGACAAGTATTGTCATCTTAAAAATTCACACAGCATGCTTTTGTAACTTGTTATGATCAGGTAAATATCAGATGTTTTGATTAGGCAAAAATTATGGCAAAACATGCAGCTTTTAATAATTAACCAAATTACTTTAATTGAAATTACAAGTATTAAAAGTGGTTTTAGGAAAGTTCACTTCATTGTTTTAGTGAATATTTTTAAACAAAAGCTTGGTGTGTGTTTTAGAATTATATAACAATATGAAAAGTTTTTTTTTGTCACATAACTAATCCAAGTTCTTTTTTTTCTTTTGATCTGTCATTTCAGGGGGTAAGACTCCAGATGCCAAGTCTAGGACATTCCAGGTTATCATGAAAGAGCAAGCACTGAATAAAGACCAGGTAGAGAGGACATTTTTGGGCAATTGTATGAATTATATAAATTGTATAAAGCTTATGAGTATTACTATTAATTGTGACTTATTTTGTAAGTTTTATACTTCTT